AATCTAGAATGCAATGTTCCACTCGATATACACCCAGATTCCACTGACACCTAGATACAATGCTAGTAATATCTCTTGGTGTAGTCTTGAATCTATGCAATGTTCCACTCGATATACATCCAGATTCCACTAACACCTAGATACAATGCTAGTAATATCTCCTGGTGTAGTCTAGAATCTATGCAATGTTCCACTCGATATACACCCAGATTCCACTAACACCTACATACAATGCTAGTAATATCTCCTGGTGTAGACTAGAATCTATGCAATGTTCCACTCGATATACATCCAGATTCCACTAACACCTAGATACAATGCTAGTAATATCTCCTGGTGTAGTGTGGAATCTATGCAATGTTCCACTCGATATACACCCAGATTCCACTGACACCTAGATACAATGCTAGTAATATCTCCTGGTGTAGTCTAGAATCTATGCAATGTTCCACTCGATATACACCCAGATTCCACTGACACCTATATACAATGCTAGTAATATCCCCTCGCACATTCAATGACCGGAACTGTCACCTGGCACAAAATCATTTAAAATCAAAGAAAGCTTAGAAAGAACTCCCGTGTGCTGAGAGTATTGGAGACACATTAAAAATTAATTCAAAATTACTTGAACTTGAGATGTTGATGGAAACGCAGAAAATTAACTATGCAAATAAGGTAACGAACAGATTTAAGTGTAAAACTAATGAGGTCTGCACAATGTACCAAGTTTCATTGAAATGTGATTAGAACCAAAAAATATTAATTATTATGCTAATTAGAGAATTAATATGAACAGATTTTAACCCAAAATTAATCAGGCTGTCTATTGTCCTAGACCATTTATGTACCAAGTTTTATGACCAATACTTGAGATATACAGTATTAATTAATTATGTTAATTAGGTGATTAAGAAGCATAAATATTTACCAAAAACTAATATGGTGTATAGTCCTAGGTTCATTGAAATGTGACAGGTACTCTTGAAAAGTTTCGTTGAAATCCAATGAGTGGTTTTTAGACATCAGTGCAACAGCCATAGAACAGCAAAAAATTAACTAATTATGCAAATTAGGTAATTAATATGCACAAATATTTACCCAAAACTAATTAGGTCTCTGCACAGTCCTCAAGTAACTATGTACCAAGTTTCATTGAAACGCGATCATTATTACTCGAAATATCAAAACCTGAAAATTAATTAATTATGCAAATTAGGTAATTAATATGTACTGATATTAACTTAAAAACTATCAGGTCTGTGCAGTGTCATATGACATCTATGTACCAAGTTTTATTGAAATGTTATGATTAGTACTTGAGATATCAGTGGAAAAGCCAAAAATTGATTAATCATTATGTAAATTAGGTAATTAATAATATTAACAGATTTTTACCCAAAACTAATCAAATCTGCGCGTTAGTTCAGAGCATCCATGTGCCAAGTTTCATTGAAATCCAATGAGTGGTTCTTCAAAAATCAGTGGAACAGTCATAGAACAGCTTAAAATCAGTTAATTATCATGCAAATTAGATAATTAATATTCATAGATTTTTACCCAAAA